GAGACAGATAAAAAAAAGATGCAGAGTGCAAACAACACAAAGATGAGACAGGCAGCACAGGCCAAAGAGCTCTGGAATCTGCTGCAAAGACTGGAATATGTAATCCTAGAGGACATACACAAGACAATGCAAAAATGCAGAGTCATGGATTTCATTAATAAACCTACTTTTAGAACTTGCCTGCAATATTTTGCTGTGTTAGATAAAATTAGTTTGTATGGATGTCAGAGTAGCACACCAAAATAGAATGTCCACACTCTAATCTGTTATTTTTTACCTCAATGTACACAAAAGTGAGTGGTTTAGGTACACAAGTTATAAATACACATCTGCTGGGAGATCTCATAGCTGAAATTAGATGTGACAAACAGAGATAATACAAGTTGCCAGAAGGCAACTAACAGTGGGAAAACAGACATCTGCTTCTAATGCCAAAGATTCTGTAACATGGGAATTCAGGGAATTTGCTGATTGTAAGGAAGACTAGAAGCTGGCTCAAGTACAAATTACAGTAGAAATGAAAGTGTAAAACTGAGATAAAGGATGGGATCAAAATTACTGGGAGAAGTAAGCAAGAAATTTTTGTGTTCATAGTAACATATTTATGGGAGGCCTTAAAAAGTAAGAATTTTAAAAACCCCACATAATATGAGTGTAAGATACAGGAAGTCTAGAAGAGAAGGCACATACATACCAAGATTACTGGGACACAAAAATTATTTTAACCACAAAATTTCAATTTTGCTTTTCAGAAGCAGGAAGAGAAAAATGAGAGGAAAACCCAAATGGATCAGAAACTAAAACATGGCCAGGGATACTAGCATTGAAAGGTGAGAAAACACAGAAGAAACTAAAGTTAGCAAAAAGCTAGATAGGGAAGACAAAAAAATGAGTAATAATATAAATGAAAAAGTGATAAGAGCTTTGGAGACAGAAAGCACAGAGCATTTCAACAAAAGCAGAGAAAGTAACTCAAGGGATCAAACTGGGTAAATGTACAAGGAAGTCTCCCATATACGTGAATACTATGCACATGTTAGAGCTCTCCAAATGGACTTCAAACTCATCTCAGCACGTCTGACAACGTGACCTTTCTCAGGGAAAAAGAGTTTCACTAGTTTGACTATAAAACTAGACAAGAAGCAGTTGTGCAAGTCCAGAAAAAAGGCACCCAGATCTACCAAAGCAGCAATAGAATTGATTACCTTTGTTCGAGCAAAGAGCAGCATGGCAAACATGGTGAAGAGAGACAGATGAACAGCCAGTAGTAGAACAACACTGTTGGGAAGAAAATATTCTTTAATCAAAGTATTAATAGTAACTTCTTATTAGTCTTAATATCATCTGCTGAAAATGCAAAATGATACCATATAAAGAAAACCAGGGGTGTTTTTATGAAGTTACATAGAGGTAACAGGAGGAGATGCGAGTTTTGATATAAAATAAAAATCACACTTGTGTGCCCAGTTCTTCCCTTACAAAAGCAGAATCAAAACCTCCCACTCGACTAGCATTAAAAAAAATACGTCACATACACAGTCATGTCAAAGTCTAGAGCTCCTGTACAGACTAAGGGGAATCAAAAAGTTACCACAACCTTCACCCTCTGTCACCTGATCTCACGGAGCACTTAGCTACCCAATCCAGAGGGAAGCTGCTCAGATGGCCCACACAGAGCACCAAGGCTAACAGCCTGCCTGCTAACAACCACCCTGTGAAAGGCTGGTTTCTGTGCTGTACCCACCTGGCCATTTCAGGCAATGTGCTGTTGATGCTTTTTAACGTTTTCTTCATCATAGAAGAATTCTGGAGGAGAAAGAACGGGCGAAGGATTCTTCTTATTCTCACACTCTGCAAAAAACAACGGACCAGACACTGAGCTCCTGCAAGACTGGCAGCACAAATACGTTGAATGCAAGTTTGTCAAAAAGCACTTGACACACACATAGACAAAGCCAACAGTGGAACAGAAAAAGAAGTGAGATCTGCTCTTCTGAGCTCGCAAAACACCAAAAAAAAATTCCATACCTCATTAAAATGAGGAGAGATTCCTTTAAAAACACACATTGACATTTCAGTAGTCTCATCAGGCCATTAACTAGAAACAATCTAACTTTACTGCTTAGTAGACATAACAATATGGCAAGAGATGGCGTTTTTGCATTTTCTGCCAAGGTCCATCTCAGGAAAGGGACTATTAGAGAGCTACTTTCAATAAAAATAAATACATATTCTAAAAATAAGTGTTTAATTTACATTTTCAGACTGTATTATAACTAAAGGGCCTGCTTATTACTTAGCAACTTCTGTCTCTGACAAGACTTAAGCTGTAATTGCTTTCACAATTTCAACACCACAGCAAATAATCTTTTTGATTCTTGCAGTCAAGACATTTGCAAGCCCTTCAAGTTATTCCTGTCACTCATTTGCTACTTCAAGTGTTTCAGCATCCTGCAGTCTTCCATGGGCCACACTTAGCAGCAGAAAAACCAAAAAATTCACTTTCTTTATTTCTATTCTCATGTTCATCCATCCCAGCAGTTCAACTGCTCCTTCTGCCACTGCTCTGTGTTGGGAGGCTCCTGTTCAAACCTCTCCACTATCACACCTCAAGATTTTACATTTTAAGATCATGTCTCTCTCATTCACTTCCCAGCATTTTTATTGCATTAGTATTTTCTTAACAAGGACTGCAACTGCACAACAACTAATTTAATGGAAATCTGTGGCAGACAATACCAACTGGGAGAGTGCAGTATTACATCAGGGAGGGCACTTCTAGAACCATTTCCAAACCTGATGTTCCTCTCAGGACACAAGTGTTTTGAATACAGCACAGCTTCAGGTTAGAAAGCAGCTGTTAAACTACATAATTATCTTTTTCTTATACTTCACTACAGAGGCTTTGCCATGCAGTCAAGTTTAGCATATAATTCTCCAATTACATGACAAAATTGGTGCCAGGCAACAAGTTTTCCCTGCACTCTTCCACTGCTTACAGACTAAAGCAATGAGAGCTACTTAATTTTACCAATAAACAAAAAATTTACCTTAAGAATCAAACAGAATTCTTTGCTAAGCTACATTACACCAAACTTTTTCTGTATTTCAGTGCATTATCCAGCTGTGAAAGGCCAAAGTAAAGCTGTTCTTACCTCTTTGCAGAAAAAACTCAGTGACACAATCCAATCAGCAAGGGAAACAATTAATGTCAGTATATACGCCATTAGCCATTTATTTTTCCAAAATTCTTTCCATCCAATTAAGTAACTCTGGATAAGGGAAAAAAAAGAACCATTTTTAACTATTTTAATTAAAAAATACAATACCCTAATAAGTCACCACCAATTTTTTCCAAGTATTTGCAGTTTTACATTAGTGCTCTTAAAAAGCTCTCCAAAATCCAAACAAAAATACATTATTGAGAGATTTTTTTTCTACAAGAACTAAATAAAGGTCAGTAAAAGGTGCACATATGAGAGGGGCACATAAGCCTCATTTGAATACAAAAAAATTTCCACTTAATAAACCTAAAAGGATATTTTCCAGAAATAAGTACTCCAACATGACAACTTTTATTTTGTGCAAATGAACTCACACATATTTATTATATTCCTTGATTTTATAGCCTAAGACAGCTAAGTCAAAACACTTGCACTCTTAGCAATATTTCACACAATTAGGAAAATTAGGGTAAAAAAAGGGGATAAACGTCTTAATTTAGTAAATATACACTTGCTAATTTTTCCTGAAATGAGGTTCTAACAAAGCATTTCATCCTGCAAACTCAAGATTTGAAAACCAATTCCACCACGCGCCTACTGTTTGATTCGAGAGCAGAGGAAGGAGATGCTCACCTTCACAGAGACATCAAGCACGAACACGAGGAAGCAGAGCAGCTCAAGGCTCTCGGTGAGGCCGCAGGGAGGATTCCAGGCGGGAAGGCGGTACCGCACATCCGACGTGACAGTGAGTGAGGAAGGCTCTTCAATGAAAGCCAAAGCCAAGATTACAGTAATGGTTAAGCTCAAAATCCTGTTTGGACAGAGATGAAATTAAAAAGAAAAACCAACAAAACCATAAAAAAGCGAACAACAACAAAAAAAAACCATCCTAAAACAAACCCCAGAAAACAGCCACCAAGTGAGTCAAAATAATAACAAAATACTTACAGTAAAGCAATTTTCTTTGAAGTAAACCAGCTTTATGATACCATATTTCACTGAAATGGGTTAGACCATAAGGCAGCACTTTACTAGCATGTTGTTGCCTGCACTGGAGAGGTAATTGCTGACCACCAAATAACCTGAGGTGGTGTCCTTTGGAAACTAACAGCAGCAAACAATCTTGCCGGTATCCAACATGTTTAGAAATAGACACTTTGAAAACTCTTAAGGCACAGTGCTGTAAATCATGCTAATTAGTCCACTCATGCAACAGTCCTGTGGCTGCTCCCAAGAGCCATCTACGTCATCACACTTCCATAAAATTTGCAGCTTTCCACTTCTGTAATGTTCACACGTTGTCAATCCCCTTGCATCCCACAGTAAGTTCTTATAAATACAAAACCACAATGATCTGATTATCCAACAAGCAAGAAAGATGAAGAGTAGGTTTTCAGAAAGACTAACTCCTAAACAAAAAAGCAATGAGAATAACCAAGTTCTTACCACTGGCAAGTCTTGGAATAGTACCATCGATAAAGCCACAGGGATTTGGAGTCCACACGGTGATTTATAGATCGATACTGAAGGCAGGAAGCAAAAAGGCTAATTCAAACATTACATTCAGTCTGTCTCCAAGACAAAGATCAAGTGACCAAAGCAAATCAAATTAGAACATATTATTAAAGTATCAGGTCACCCATGACCACAGAGGTACTCTACATGTGTGAAAAGGGAAGGGTTCCAAAGAAGTTCTGCTATCTAAAGACCACACAGCTGCTCAGATAATTAAACTGCACACCAGTCATCTCAAGCAAGCACTGTCATAATTTCAAATAATAGCATTTGTAATAATTCAATACATATTCAATAATTTGTGACTATTCTATGTTCTCCCCAAAACAGTCCACCCACCACTTAATTCCCCTCTCCAACATTCATTCCCCTCATGGATTTTGTTTTGTCTTTCTCTTCCAACAGGCTATAAGATGCAAACAAATTAATTCTGAATAGAAGAGATCTCAACCTATGTCTTTGAATATAACATGCTTTCAGATCACAAAGTGCCTGTGATTCTTCAGGAATGCCCAAAATCCATCCCTCTTCTGTGACAGCTCCTGGGCTGTTCTTACTCTGCCTCCAATGAGTAGATGTTTCCAGAAAGGTGGCCACACCTTAAATACATCTGCCCCCAGAAATCTCCCAGCCAAAAGCCTTCTAGATGTAGCAAGAGAGCTTAAGAACTGCCTTTCAGCATTCCCAGTGCCTGGGAGAAAACAGGATCTAGGAACCTGCAGTAATGGCCAGTAAAGGAGAGACAAAGAGGGAATCAAGGCATCCAAAGGCACCAAGTTCAGCTGAGGTCCAGCTTCACACTTGAGACCAGCCTTAAAGTCTTAAACTTTTGCCAGCTCTTAAGATGTGCAAGCAGTCAGACTGAGAAGCAAATTACAGGGTTTGCTCAAATAGTTTCTCTTAGCAGTCGGTTAGTCACTATCAAAACACCCACAATCAAACCAACCCAAACAAATAAACAAACAAAAATCTACCATGAAAACCACTCCACAAAACCTGTCTTCTGAAACCCTTAAAGAGATTACTTCATTGTGGGAAAAAAATATATTTCTCCGAGGCAGGAGTTCACTGAGACTTGGATACTACAGGAATTTGGAATTTTGATTTTGTTTTGTGAATTGAGATGGTGGTTTACAAACGTTGCCTGAACACAGAAAATCTTAAAAAACTGGCAGAATGTGTGACAAACATCCAGCGTGGGAAGCATAACAGCTAACAAAATAATTTTTACTTACTTGTATTGCATCTTCAATAAATACTATGGCTTGGTTTATATAAAGGTCACTATCAGCTCCAGCACCTATGAAGCCAAAAATAATTAAGAATCACTTGCTGTATTTTGGATAAACAAACTTTGGATAAAACAGCTTATCAGTTAACAGAAGGTGCACAGTCACGGTTCCCATGACAAAGGGCACTGTACACACACAGAAAAAAGAGAGAGCTCCTGCCATATTTGCTCTGTCAGCAGCACTGTGCATTACATTAATTAAGTAATAATATTATCAAATATCTTGCATCTTTCTGTGTTTAGTTAAATGGTTCTTTTTAGGTTTAAGTAGCCAGATTACACTGGTAGTTAAGTATCACAAAACTACACAGAGACAAGTCCTAACAGGCAAAATAATGGAGATTCAAATTGTTCTTTGACAGAGCGTACAGTCAAGTGAAGCCAGAAAAATCAAGTACTACTATTATAGCAATTTTTATTTTTGTTTATTAAAGATACTGCGGTTTAGAGTGATCTTGTTCCTCTAAAACCAACAGGAATCTCCAGTCATATGAGACCTAAATTAACTGCCTTTTAAATCTGCTCTGAGAGTTACTATTACCATTCCAAAGAGATCAGAGCTCAAGCCACTATAAGGGGTGAAAGAACACAAATTGAAATAAAATACCACTAAATTAGTTACTACGCCACTTTTAAAAACCCATTATTAAGAAGTCTGTGTGAAGATAGACACATTAAAAATAAAGGGCAGCCACTTGTGTTTACTTGAAGTAAGACCCTTCAGGAACTAACCGGGCAATTAAGGGAAAAAGAGAAATAAACGCAGGTAAGATCAAAATAACGAAGGGAGGAAAAAAAATATATAAAAAGAGATAAACTGAGGGGGACTCAAGATATGAAAAACACATGCTAGTGTAACCTTCCCACAGAGGGGAAGAGTCCTAAAGAGCATCTGAGCATTTCATACCATCTCCTCCGAGGAGACAGCAATCACAGCCCAGCATACACCAGGAAGGAGTCCATCCCAGCAGTAGCACAATGCCCTCCTCCAGACACCAAGCAATGCCAGAAACACCACTGATCAGAGTCACAGACAATTGCATGTTCCACATGACTCAGTAGCATCAATTTCCTACAAAGACTGCAAACGGTTTTTAAATGTCACCCCTTATCTGAGCATCAGCAGCAAGAGTTTTGTACTGATCCTGATATGAACCACGACGCAAGAAAGATCTGAGCATAAGCAGGAGACAAGCCAAGCTCATGCAGTAAAGATATTATTTTTTTCATGACATCTCACACTAGTGAGATAAAAATAAGAGTTGCTTAAAGGAACCATTAGCTAAAAGATTGCAAGGACAGTAAAAGCTTTAGGAACTTGAAGGGCACAGCAAGCCACTAATGTTGACGCCAAGGATTTTGGAAGGGCAGAATTTAAGTGACTGTTCATAGTATAAAAATAAAACAGGGAAATTAGCCAAAAACGTTTACTTTAGCAATTTCTCCATGCAGTCTACCATGGATAGCCAACTTATTCTGCAACTCTTAGTCACAGCAAGTGACACTTAGTCACAATTGATGATTAAAGCACTGCTCGGTTTGGGCACACAGGATCCATCCGAGACCCCGCTGCACTTCTGGCACTGCACAAAAGAGCAATAAAAAGTGAAGGTTCCCTTACGCGATGCGATACCCTGAAAAGAGAGAACCTGAGGTCTCCAAAGGATTCCACCCGGGGGTTATCGAGAGGTCAGACCTACGACAGTCACCGGTTTCGAGAAAAACTTGTCAGCACTTTAGAGGAAAACCCTAAAATTACATAAGGAACGAAAGAAGCCTGGGGCTGCAGCGCAGTGCCACGCTCGCACCTGAGCCCAGCGCTAGCGGCTCCCTCCTCAGAGCCGTCCCCGCCGGAGCTGCCGGCAGCAGCCGGGGCAGGGCGGCCGAGCCCCGCCGAGCCCCTCGGCAGCCCGGGGGGCTTCCTGCCCCTCCCGCTCCTGCCGCTCCCGGGAGCGCCCCAGCTCTGCGGGAAAGGCTCCGGCTCCGGGCACCGCCCGCCCCGGGCACTCACCGTCCTCGGTGGCCGAGCGGGCACGGCCGCGCTGCCGCCACAGCCCCCGGCCCGCCCGCCAGCGCCGCGGCGGCAGCAGCGGCTCCGCCTCAGCGCCGGCCTCCATCGGCACCACCGAGAGGGCTCCCGCCGCCGGGCTGCGATGGGGCAGGACGGGCACAGAGGGAAGGGCACCGGGGGCGGGACGGCAGCGGGGCTCGGCCCGCCCCGGGCGGCTCCGCCCGCCGCATGTGACCGGGGCCGGCGTTCGCCCCCTGGGCGCCATTTCCCGGCCAGCTGGGGAGGGAAGCGGGCGGGATGTGAGGAGAGAGGCGGTGGTGTGGGGTGGGAAAGTGTCGGGTTTTCACCTAAACTCCCCGGTGGGGATCCCACACGTCTTTTATGGATTAAAAAAAATCTATCCCTGATGAGGAGTTGCGTCTTTTTTTGCCTTATGCCACATGCAGGCTCCTGGTTGGGTGCCTCAGGGCAGCTGCGGGCTCGCTTCCCGCATATTTCACAGTGCTAAATAATAATTTACATCCCTGGTCGCAGAAAGTACTTAATTTGTATTCACCTAGGCATTCAATAAGCAACTGTGGGCTTCACTCATGTTGCTTTTACTGTTAAAAGATGCTTCATTTGTGCGACTCGCCCGCTTTTCTCACGGTCCCCTTCACACGCCCTTCCCCTGGTCAGTTTCATAAAGGTGCGATTTCAAAAGAGGCGTCAGGACAAGGTGACAACTCTATTGTGCCACATGCTGGGATCTATAACAGCATCATGATAAACATGAGAGTGTGTCAATCCCTCATTTTAGTATTCCAACCTGGGAAGTAGAAGTAAACCCATCCTTTGCTCTTTAATTGAAATTTACACATAGTTTATCAAACTAGGTGCTCTTTACTTCAGTGAATGTTTTACCCATTTACTAGTCAGGACTGTTATAAGGTGACTCTTAATTGTAAGAACTAGTTGAATTACAAAAATATCATGGACCAGGGAGCAATGTTTACTGTGGACAATGGTGCTGCCATGGACCAGGTCTCTTTCAGGAGCTGGTGGGATAACAACAGGCTCATCGTCATGATGTCACATCATGACTGTGATGTGTCACAAATTGAGCCAAATGGCAAAAAATTGATTGGTCTCTATGGGCCACCTTTATTTAACTCCGAAAAGGAATATGCATAATTTTATGTATGTTTGAGAAATAGCAATGGGGTAGCTTTTGCTTTCATCTGCACTACAGTTTAGTCAAAAATGAGTTTAACACTCACTTCCAAATAAGTCATGGTAAGATCCAGCTGAAGATAAAAAAGAAAACTCTTCAATGTTATCTTTACAATAATGGTTGTGCAGTGGATTGACTTGAGCTGCTCCATCACTCCCCTCCTCAGCTGGACATGGAAAGAAAATATGAATTAGTGGCAGGGAGAGGTCACTCACTGAATACCATCACAAACAAAACAGAATCGACATAGCAAAATTATTCGAATTTATTACCAATCATATCAAAATAGGATAATGAGAAATAAAGCAAATCCTAAAAACAACGCAGCCCTCCCTCCTTCCTGGGCTTAAATTTATTCTTGATTCTCTACCCCTCTCCCTCAGTTGTGTAGTGAGACAGAGCACAGGATTATGGTCACTTCTCATTGTTTCTCCCACTGCTTCCTCCTCAGGGCAATGAGTCCTTCCCCTCCTTCAGCGTGGGGGTTTCCCTCCAACAGAGAACAGTCCTCCACCAGCTCTTCCAACACGAGTCCTTCCCACGGGCTGCAGTTCTTCAGGTGTTCCACACTCAGGGCTCCCCACAGTGCCACAAATCCTGCCAGGACACTGCTCCAGCATGGGCTTCCCACAGGTTCACAGCCTCCTTTGGGCATGTCCCTGCTCTGGTGTGTGCCCCTCCATGGGCTGCAGGTGGATCTGTGCATCCCTGTGCCCTCCGTGTGCTGCAGGGACACAGCTGCCTCACCAGGGGCTGCAGGGCAATCTCAGCTCCAGTGCCTGGAGCACCTCCTGCCCTCCTTCTGCCCTGACCTGGCTCTCTGCAGGGCTGTTCCCCTCACATATTCTCACCCTGCTCTTCTCTGGCTGCAATTTCTTCTGCACAATACCTTTTTCTCCTTGTTAAATCTGTCATCAGAGGCATTACTCCCATCACTGGTTGGCTTGGCCTTGGCCAGCAGCAGGTCCATCCTGGAGCCAGCTGGGATTGACTCTGCCAGACACAGAGGAAACTTCCAGGAGCTTCTCAAAGAAGCCACTTCTGTAGCCTTCTCCCACGAAAATCTGGCCAGACAAACCCAATAGAAGTTGTCTCTAGTAAAAAGTGAACATCAACAGCTACACATTAGAATTATTTCCCATTCTCAGTAGATAACTGATAACCTTGGAGTTAAGTGTTGATAATAGCTGAACTAGAGGTATCAGATGGAACAGACACAGTGAAAATTTCTGGATAGTGAAAGGAAAATAGGAGTGACCTGGTACAATCTGTAGTCAGCATTGGAAGGCAAAAAATAAAATGCAATTTGTACACATGCTGTAAATGCCATTGCTAAGAAAGATAAGTGTCTGAAATAGTCAGGCTAGCAACACTAACACTAACTGTAACAACACAGGAGACGTGTATTGTATTTTTGTGCCATTATTTTTTATTTGAATGAAAGCAAATGTCTCCTCTTTCCTCTTCTGTGATTGTCCAGAAGGAGAAACCAGTAACTTCCGGAAGAAACAAAGAAAGAAGAAGTCTTCAAACATACAACAAATTCTTGAACTTCTCTTCAGAATTCATCCACTCCCTCTGGCTGGAATGGGAAGTGGAAGTACCCAGCTAACTGTGAAAGAAGGCAAATCACAGCTGGGGTCTTCCATTTTTCCTACCAGCAGCACCCATTAAGGGCAAGTTAGTTATGCATTTTAATTAATACTGTGTAACAAACAATGAACAATGCAGCATCTTTAACTCCAAGTGAATCAATTCCTGAGTTGTGGAAAACAAATGTGGAGAATGTGCCCTTTTCAGCAGAGGTGTTGCACTAGCACAATGTAAGACTATTTTAACAGAATAAATCACTGGACCTAAGTTCTCCTGGTGCAGTTAACAATGGTAACAATGTTGTTTGCCCAGAACTGCAGAAATGCATTTCTAGTTTTCCTTATTAGAAGTGCGCCTTTCAAATCAAGGTTTAAGAAAGAAATGGGAACAGGCAAACATTAAATGAAAAGGCCTCAGGCAAAGGAACAAGCTCATCCTTTTTTATTGCTTCATAGCACTGAACAAATTTAAAAGATCGGTTGAAGTCATGAAGTTAAAAATTAAGTTTTTGCAAGTAGGTGGGATGTGGATAACACTCTAATTGAGCTCAGGAGATATTTGTTTTATACTTCGTTCTGCAATATTCAAACAAAACAAGAAGCTGAACTCTAAATTCAATCCCATCAGCATGAAGATTACCCATCTGCTTCAAGATAGACATGCTTCCAATACTTGCTGAGTTAGACCTTATGGCCACTAAAAACACTGGACCAGTCTCCAAAGCCAGTGCCAGGTAAATAAAAAACATGTAGAATAAGAACTCAGTCAATTAGCATGACAAAATTGTAAATTTATTGCAAAGTAAGGTGAGATTTTCCCCCTCAACAGCACATGCCAGAACTGTTAAAATTTTACACATTCAGCTGAGTGTTACTCAAAAGTCATATCCAATTTATCAGAACCAAATAAAAGACTACCCTGGGTTTATGATTATTCAAATGTTTTAAATTAAAGGCAATTAACTCAAGAAGTTGAAGAAAATCCTTAATAAATGATCCCTTAGCCAAACTACAGTTTAAGTGTATTGAGAGTAAAACAGGGATTCAGTAAAAAAAATTGATTACAATGATCAGCTCAAGAACTGTTAAGCAGGTCATCACTGCTCATTATTACAGTATAATCCAGTTTTGAACATTCTGTTTGGCAAATTAATTACCACAGTTAAACAAGACAGGAAGTCAGTCCACATCTTCAACTACAGAAATTCCTTCCTTTTTTTCTAGCTTGGATACCTGCAAGTAAAAAGGAAACCAATTCAGTAGCAAAAATAAGCTTGTTCTTCCATCAGCATCTGCTACTGTGGTTGTAAAAGAGACACACAAAGATCAGGCTTTTATGAAGTGGAGAAATCTTTTGGTTTGACCAAGTGCAGCTAATCTTGTGGTGTAACACTGGAAAAAGCAGAAGACAGCCTGCAGATATCTCGTCCTTGCAGGCAGATGTGCCAGCTGTCTTCTGAGCTGCATCATAGTTCCTTCACATTATGCCAGCTATTAAAATCCCAGGAACATTTTGGCACCTGGAAGTGCTCTGACCACAAATCCTTTACTTCAGACACAGCTCCAAGGCAGAAGCTACACACAGCACTGCCAGAGTTCCTGGGGTTGCTCTAAATCCCCTTAACCAGGTAGAACTGAATGACATAAAGACTCCAAGAGCAAATCTGGCAATACCCAGCAAATGCTGTGCTCCCAAATTCCTTTTACCCCTGTTCCTTCTGCAGCAAATACAAAGGGAATTTTGCACTAAAAATGAGTGCATAACTAAACTGGCTTGACTACATTACAGACATCCAAAGCAGAAAAGTACAATTCCAACAGATTTCTCTATCATTAGCACTCCAAGTTGTTTCCATTCACAAATGAGCTCCAGCTGTAACATGACTCTCTTACAGGAAAACCTGGCATGACCTAACTAAAGGTCGGTTTTATGTCAAGTTAATGCCATATTTTCACAGTCCTGTTACTATGCCAGAAAAATCTTAGGTGTAGATTGAGAACCAGGAGCAGAATCATCAGGGAGACACTGCCTAGAGAGTGATTCTCTTCAGAATTACAATTGTGCTGAACACAATAGAGGAAACTCTTCCTCTATTCCTTTTCTTGAATAGGACAGATTTGACTCAAACCACTGTGAGTTATTATTTTCCAGTCTTGAAAAGAGCTGCAGGAGTTATCAGTTCAGGTTACTCTTTGATTTTATACACAATAAAATCTTCCTCAAACTCATCTCCCAGTTTCCAGGAATAATTTGCAATTGCCCCTACCTTTGCAGAACACAACTGCTATTACATACAGATCTAGTTAGAGAGTGTAACAAAATCCTGCATCATTAAAAGATCTTAATCACATTTACTGTAAGCATAAAATAATTACATTTTGGTCCAGACCCTACAAAAACATTTTTCCTGACTTCCACAGAGGCCAAAAGAACTTTTGTCCTGGACTTCAGTGGGAAAAAGTCCAATATGATGTAAAAAAATCCCCCACCATACATACTTTACAATAAAGTACTCCACATGGTAGCTTTTATCCCAGGTTTCAAGGTAGTAAAATACTATTACAACATGTCTGGCATTTCACAGATGAAGGAATTAATATTTTATTACATGTATAAACATATTCTTAAAAGCAACTGGGGTCTAAAATCTCTGGCAGAAAAAACTTCAAGGTGCTAAAATTCTTCACCCCAGCACTTCTGCCATAAAAGAGGCATTAAAATAAGTTTGAAGGGGTGGCTAAAAACTATAAAAAGTTAAGCATGGTTCCAATAATCGCCTGAGCACCTCCCTATCTTAGCTCTCAAACTGAGCACAGTACCATTACTGCTGCTGTGTTTGAACAAAAGTGTATTTGTGAGTCAACTAACTTGAGATTCAAAAAAGGAATTGTTGCAGAATCAGGTGGGAGAAGCACTCACAGAGAATTGCTGCCTTTTACATTGGCTTTCTCCACGCTGATGTAGGTCATGTCTTAATTCTGCAATGAAGCAGATCCCTTCAGACAGGTCCTGAACTGAAACCAAAACAGAAAAGCTTGTTTCTCCCATTAGCACAGAACTGCACGAGTCTGGGTACACCTATTACTTTCTGTCCTCAGTTCATGTATTCTTTTATTTTTAATTTTTCTTGTTTTCATAGCTGTATGACAAAAAAGAACCTGAACAGCCTACACTAAAATCTGAGGATTTAGCCTCACAGTTATGTGCAAAGAACAATCACAGTTATTTCTGCAATAACTGCTACCCTAAATGTTAGTTGTCTTTTGCTGGAGATTCACTGGAACCAGGCTTGACCCACTTGGAATAATTTACATACAAAATCATTCCAGAAGCAGAGGGCATTTACCTGCTGGTCTATACACCTGAACTGCCAGGACCATGAGGTGTTGTAGAGGAAAGGCCTCAGGTCAAACCGGTTGTCATCTGGACTGTAGTTTTCAGCATGGTAGGAAGGAGTGAGGGTGGTCATTTTGTGCCTGTTGACCGAATACATCCTGAAGAAATGCTTAACCTTGGATGCCACCTGGTGTACAAAGAATGTAGCTTTTAATCAGATGAAGTTTCTTAGTATTTTAATAAAAAAAATTTAGAGGAGCACAGTATTTTGGAGACTGTTTTCAACCTTTACACAGTCTAGCTATTCTTTCAAACCAAGAGCCGTTTTTTTTCTCAGAACACATAGCCAAAGGCTTCAAGAGTAGTTGGTCATCTGTATTTCAGAGAACAATTTTCCCCCTGAGGTATAGTTCTGAAGCAATTGTTTTCAAATTACCCAATTAACCATTGTTTTAACAATTTGAAGCACAAGACAACAAACTCCATTTAGGAGATGCAGACCAGCTTTTCCAGCATATTCTGCTGCAGCTGTAGAATAATCTCTAAACACAAAATAATGAAACTATTCCTTTCAGTTAAAAGGAACCTGACCTTTCTCCAAACATACTCTATTTTGGCAAAAGCATTAAAACTATTAGATTTTTATTTTCTTTTTGGAATATTACCTCTCTTGGAGTACAAATTTCCTTCCACATATTAATCAGCTTACAGAACATACTGTATGGTCCAGCCTTTGCAATTTTCCTTAATTTCCCATAGATTGAAAGCTCTGCATATGTCATCCCCATATCTGCCTGAAAACACACACACACACAGAAAGTCACTGAAAATCTTAATTATGCAAATTTTAACGAATACTTTCATGGAGCAATTAAAATAACCTAGCTAAATCAAAGAAATACCAAAATGAAATTGTCAATGTCAAAAAAACACAGTGATATTATGAACAGAAATAAAAAAACCCACTGGAATCTCTCTGAATTGGGAGATTGGAGGCCACAGAAGTAGTAATTTTATCAGTCCTCTCCTTTCCAAAGGGATAGCAACGAGAAGGGTGTGGGGAGAGGAAGGCTTTGCCACCAGTCATTTGCTTAGCAGTAAGGCCATGACTTTCTTTTGATATAAAAAAAAATTAAAACAAACTGCAATTTACAATATCCATCCTTCTAAGCGTCTAAAAATCTAAAATAATTTAATAATGTTAATTTGCTGGTTTGGAAACTATTGTCAACACAGATAGGGCAGGTGTGGGAAACTAATGCCTTGCTGGCAGCTTTAAGACTGTTTATAACATGCTTGTCAATAAGCATGGTTACATACAAGAGTAAAAAACAAACAGTCATGGGACAAGCCCCAGATTTTTTGGTAAGGCTTACCAGAGCATTTTAAAGGCACTGCCCATTATTACCTCATCAGTTTGAGCCACTTGTCCATCCACCAGGGGCTCCAACTCTGCAGTGGGTGGAGCTGACATGATACTGTAAAGGAGAGGGAAAAGGAAAAACATGGATTCTATGCAGTCTGGTGAGTGTTGGTTTGTTAAAACAGCACTTCATCCCAAAAATGAAGTGCCTGGTTCAGACAGTTCCTCCAGCGAAATTAACAAACACAGTCATTGAACCACTGCTCACCTCCTGAGGGCCGTGAGCTGGAAGTTTTCAAGGCAGTACTGAATGAAGTTCTTCAAATCAGTTTTGCTGATGCCACCAATGGGGTTGATATCAGCACTGGAACAGTCATACTTGGTCAAGTAACCACGGAGACTGAGCAAAACAGGAAATTTTATACAGCAACAGTTAATAATAATGTAACTACAGCATAATATATAATCCTTGACACTATAGAGAATTTATATGTAGCATGAAGAAAGGGAGAAACAGACTGCAGATTAGTAACATATTTATACCACAAGGGCAAACATGTTTAACTGCAACACAGCTATCCTACAGCCCTGAAATTTCCACAAGATGATACTTTAAACAATAGTAAAGCACTCCAAAACTGCCCATGCTGAGGCAATATGTGCAAAACCATTAAAATACTGTGCTGACCAATTAAAACAATAAATCTCAAAACACCCACAACCAGCACACAGTACTCTCACAGCTTTATAGGTCACCACAGTCTTACAGGGATTGCTTTAATTGTTGAATACTCAGCTCTAATAACAGTACTCCAAATTTTAAAGTCTGTTTCTTCAGATCAAAGTTCACATGTTAATACCTTATGCAGTAATTGAAAATTCAACAAATTGGGAAGTTAGCCTAGTGAATGCACAGGTAAGATCTACTGAAAACAGCATTTTATGGGAAAGCTATAGCAATACTTTGTTTAACCTCTGAAAAATACACAATTTCCCATTCAGGCTGATTTAACTATTTTCATTAATTTCACTGTTACCAGTGTATTCTTAGGTTGTTACCTAGAGTGGGATTTGGTAGAGTTGCAAGGAAATGACAATAACCTGTTCCACTTGGGTTTGGATTCCTAATTTCCACCAACCTTTCATCCACATTGGCTGATCCCAGCACCAGCAGTCCCCCTGACATCCCACGAGCCCATAGTGTCAGCTGAGCAAACAAGTAGGCAAGGACCATTCTTATTCTAGCCTGCAAAGCAAAATGAAAAGGAAAGCAAAATTTACATAGCAGAGTGATTTCTCTCCAGCCACTTTTATTAATCAATTGTCTAAACAAACTCATGAAGAACAAAATGCAGGCAAGGTAAGCATGACTGCAAGAAGGATGGTCTTGTGGAGAAATTGCTGAACACACTCAGGAAGTCCAGGATCACTATCTGCTACTGCCACAGACTGAGGAAGTTTCTCCTGGCCAACCACAAATTGGGGAGCAGTTGCCATTTACTTCCTCTAATAGCATTAACAAGGATCCATGATGGATGAAGTATGCAGATAAACCATCCCCTTCTACAGAGTAAATAAATCCCTCTAGTCTAATAGAAAACATCTGTAAAAAGTTCACTTTGCTTTTGTCCCCATTCTGAAACTCAGCTTTTTCTAAGGATGGCAGTAATGCCAAACCAACCTGGGATCCAGCCCCCAGCTCCAGCCACAATTTTTGGGTGGTGTTAAGCAAATCCCCACACTCCTCTGTGACTTAAGCCTCTCCTGTTGCCACAAAGCTGATAAAGGATTCAATGTTTGCTTCCAGAGCAAACAGCTGGATTTCTCCAGTAACAGAGAGAGAAAGATCAAGTCCTCAAATTACCAAAAAACTACCAAACACTTGGATAACCAACACTCGGAACTACAGCGGAATTGCTGGTTACGTTGGAAAACCAAAAACATCAAACCAAAACCCACAGAACCAAAAAGTGTGACCTGATTCAGCCTGCAGGACACACACCTGCACATTCTGGAGTGCCAGGCTCTCTCTGCTGCTCCCTCCATAAACAGAAAACCGGGGAGTTCGACCTGTCACCACACTGAAGATCCCCACAACAGCTTTCACAGCCGCATCAATGTTCAGGTTGATGTGGTAGCTGAGAAGAATTTAAGCACAAGTGACTCAACCAGCACAATCTGACTATATAAAATAGAAAAAAAAAACAAACAAAAAATCCACCCATCAAATGAGGTTTTAAAGCTGCTAAAATCTCAGATCTGGTATGAAGAAACTTAGGAAAGAATAACACTTTTCAGAGTCTGTTTCCAAAATTCCATGTCTTTGCCAAATGCTTCTAAGTTTACCTCAATTTAACACTTAAGTAACAATATCTGTAGCAATCCTACTTAATGCTACTTAACCCACCTCCTATTCCTCTCTTATTTTTTCCCATTTTCGAGCTTGAATGTTTTAGATGTAAGTCTTTGCCAGAACATGATGTATTTTCCCAGCACTTCTGAGCTTGTACCTGCCTATTTGCTCAGCCAGCAGTTTAGCCCTGTTGCAGGTATCCTGGGAGGAGTTCTCACTAGCCATGTAGCACGTGGTGAAGACACGCTTGCAGAATTCCCGAGGATCCTCAGGGATGTAGGTCTCATCATTCACAATCCTGCGTGCATCAGCCAGCACATCTGCATCTGAGGACAGAGCAAAAGAAACAGAACAAGAGTGGAAATTATTGTGCTCCTCCATTTGCAGGATATGCAAATATCTTGTGCATCCCTTGTATTCCAATTAAGCTTTATAGTGCCCATGATAAATGACTACATCTAACTCCCAAAAGATTTTTCACCTATCAAATAAAAGAATTACCGATTTTGCTCCTGATTTTGAGCACAGAAATATTAAATCTTTTTTATCTACTGAAGAATTTTCATAGAAAACATGATCTAGTATGTAAAAAGATTTAGCTAAAAGCACAAAGTCTGCTTAAAGCCAGTTTAAGAACTTAAACCATTCCTAACCATGCTTTGTAGTGCTGGTTTTAATAGAAGGGGAAAATTTTCAGAATAAACTGAAGACTACATCATCCAACATTTGAACAATAGTCTAGACAGAAACTAGTCTGAGTTCCACATCCAATTCTTAAGTCCAGAATGAAAACTATTATGCCAATTCAAAGAATCTGAATCTGGAGACATTTTAGCTGGAATTTCTGAAGAGATGCAAAGGACTCCATCAGAACAACAGGAAAAGGGTCTACCATTAACAAGCTCATGCAGCTACTGCACCCAGCTAATATTAACTTGTCCATAATCATTAGTAAACACAGCTGGCCAGACACACAGATCTACTTACTGCCATTCTTGACTGCCAGGCAAACCTGGTGGCACATGGAATACACTATGCAAGCTGTAGCAGAGCTGTCAATTCCACCACTCAGAGGTAGGAGAAATCCTGCCTTGAAAACAGAGCAAGGAGGAGATTCCACATAGCAAAATTAGAAAAAAATACGTATTGTACCACTCAGAAACACACTCTTATTGAAGAATGAAAGGTGCATTGTTCAAGGCTGTTTATATTCTAGTGGGGAAAACCCAGTAGCAAATCCTCTGAAACTCTCATCAACTGGATAATCAAAGTCAGTGTAAAACCCTTTGGCTAGAAAAAATTCCAATTGTCTTCACCCTCTAGGAAGACAGAAAAGCTAATAAAAAAAGATTACATTTCTCATATATATTTTACTATTACACTGAATGACTAGTTCATGTCACTCTGTGCACTCAAGAAAGCACAATTCCTAAGGGAAAGGTGCACAGAGCATATTGAAATCACACTTGGAATACAATTTTTAAGTCAGAACAAGCTACCTCAAAACTCACTTTGTACTTTGGACTAACATCAGTTTGTACCAGCACCACAGGATAAGAATTTGGATTGTGCCTGTGGCACAAAAGAAGCTGTACATGCCAAGGGAAAAGCAAACTGAGTTGTTCTTACCTGTTTGCTGCGCCTTAAATAGTCCCAGAGCCAACATGCAGGTCCAAGGCTGAAATTACAGAACATCATAATTCTAAGAAGGTTAGGGAATAACACCTAAGCAACTCAACATATTTACTGTGGCCTTCCAATGAGAGACTTCCTTTACTTAAACATAAGATGTTGTTTAGATTTATCTCTGAGTTTTGTTGGGTTTTTTTTAATCAAAATAATTTTCAAGCAACAAATTCAGTGTTTGATTACCTGATCTCCTCCTCGGGACTGTGGTGTCTCCACTGGATTGGCATACAAGTAGGAACAGCTACATCATCAGGACACGACAGAGCAAAGTCCACTTTTACCCTGGGATAAGGATTCACTTTACTTGCCTAAGCAATAGTACAGAAGAATTCAGAAGACATCAATTTTAATGTAGCATATACCTATAAAACATCAGCTCTTTAAGATACAGTGAAAATTAGGACATGCAAATACTTTTTATATTCAATAGCTATTCAAACTTGGCACATTTTACAACCACAGAGAGTCCTTACTGCCAAGTTACGAGATGAAATCTCTGCTCTGTAACTTCGAACATCCTCCAGGTCCAGAGTGGCAACCAGCACCTCCTATGGAAAGGCTTTCAACATTAGATCACTCTACACAAGCAGATAAACAATGCTTGGCAAAAGATTCAGCCTCAGCTGTGACAAAGAAAAAGGCAAGAAAAATTACTGGGGAAAGAGATGGATCTGGCACATACTGTGAGGAAACCTAGATGACAAATCTACTTTTTTCTGAAATCAAAGTGAAACCTTGTGTCTACAAAACTGGGTCATAATTAAAACACTGCAGTCTTTGCCCTTTCTTCTTTTATATATGGGAATCTCAATTCACAGGATCTCTCCTCCTGATGGTGATTGCATACAAAATGTTTTCACGAAGTTCTTTCACTGTGACCTTTCTTCCTTCCTCACAAAAGCAAGAGAGCTACTGTAGGTAATCTGACTAGGAAAACACTTGGATCTAGTTGAATAGAATAATTAAAATACATCCTTTCTAGTCTAGAGATGCTGACCTAGAGTCTCAAATGTCTGGGAAGTGTTGAGCATAAGTGTCCTAGTAGCTATGGGGTGAATACATTACCACATCATCGAGTGAGAACTGGGATCCTTGTGCAACTGTTTCTCCATTCATGGAAATCATGGCACAGCCATCATAATACAGACGATCACCATCACAGCCTTTCTGGTTTGCTAAAATATATATTCCACCATTCTGCCAGGGAAATAAACATGCAGGGAAGGGAAAAAAATTAAAAAAACAAAAAGCTGTTCAGAATATAGCACACGACAGGATGTTAAAAATCAAAATGTTATTTCTCTGTTCCTGCCCTTCTTACAGACTTCCTCTCCCTTCACATTGTGAATGATTTATGTCTGGGATTCTCTCTTGACAAGAGTCTCTACTATGAGCAAGAGTCATTCCCTCAATCCAAACAGAGAGCTGCACTTCTAAATTGAAATTATGAGTTCAAATTGAGATTGGGAAAAGCAGGAAGGTGATGACAGAAGCTGTGTTTGGATATCAGAGGAGAGAGCAGACACTGTTAAATAAATCAAAGCATGTTAAATTACAATGACAAAGCAGCTTTTTCACAGTGTAATGTACACTCATTGCTTTATTTTTGTCCTCATCACTGTTAGATAGGATTACAGACCAAATACTTAATGTCTTCTCATTTTTAAAACAAACAGAACTTTCCAAGTAGACAAGTGCACACCTTTGCTGTGGCAGAATTCACCAGATCCACCCGGGCGTGAGCCTTCCGCAGCACATGGTGACTCCCTGAAGAGTTGGTGAAAATTTCCACACCATCAAGTCCCATCTCAATGTGAGGACTGTCAAAGCAAAAGCCACCAAAAAAAAAAAAAAAAATCACTACTATGCTGTGAAAAATGCAAATATAATTAAAACTCACTGACAAACAGAAACATCTGTGTCACTGTTGGTTTTCTGCATGCCTTAGCTCAAACAAGGATAGGGCTTTCAAAAATATCTGTTTTCTTGCATTGCCTAATTCTTCTGTCAAAGACCAGCAGTGGCTGCAGAGGTCAGGAGGGCTTTTGCTCATTCTGCTCTAAATGAAATGCCTTCTCTCTCTAGAAGGCCAGGTCTCAAGGAAAGAGATACTAACACAATCTTGGTCTGAAAGGGAAACATAGATATACACTGCAAAGTCAGTAGTCCCATTCTCCTCGTCTCTTAATAAATCCAAAAACAGAGCTACAAGGAGAAGAAGTCTACTGACTTTTTTTTTCTGATGTCATAAGGAAGAAATACTAAAAAAAAAAAAAATCACATCTTCAGCACACCACACCTTCTGCAGTTACAAGGAAATGAATATAACAGAGATTTGGAAAAATATCAGTAACAAGAGCACTAGAGCTACCTATCATTTATTTCCTTAGGTGACTCTCTTAATTCTGCTTCTTTTTGGTACTTCTCCCCTATCTTCTTGTTTCAAATTGATTTAGTTTAACAAATCAACATTTCTTTGCCATCCTGCACCTAGCCTAATGAGGTCCTTCCCATGATGTATTTATGGCTCCTAATTATATTTTATCTTACTGGCACTTTCTGAAAGATAAATTACATCGAAGAATAATAAGCAGATCTTTTTGAACATTAATTTCAGGCAGCTCCAGGGTATGTTTTAGTTTACTTTTTATTTTCTCTTCTCCTTTACCTATTTGGTGCCCAGAGTTCTTCACATATTTCTGCCCCTAGGCAGGTATCTTTGGTTGCTAGCACTGCATCCCCAAAAGGAACAGTTTCCTGAGGAAAAACAAGAACATTCTTATATATATGCAGTAGAACAAGCTATTCAATTCAAAAACTTAACTACAAATCTTAAGAAAATAGAAAAATTGAATGCTCGCTTATATGAAATTAGTGACACAATATCAATCACATTATACCTTCTTTCATTTTATTCCAAGTCTGAGTAAAAAAAAAAAAGTAAAATTCTGAAGTGCAAATTTCTGGACTGACTGAAATTTTGTGTTTTAATTTCAGTAGTATTCAGATCCAATGCTTAGCTTAAGGACAGGAATTAAACAATCTACACAATATAGACTGTTGCTAGGAATCACACTCATGCTTTAGTGGGAACTAACAGAAATTTTAGATCCTTCTGAACTAAGAAGATTTAAATTCTTTTTAATTTAATTGTTTTAACCTGAAAACACACACTCAATTCTAGTCTCAAGCACAGATAAATTCAGTACCAAAATTGTGCAAAATATGGCAATGTTCTCTAAGTACAAATAACTGAGGCAGATTTAAAATTTACTTGGTTTGCTGCCACATACTAACATAAATAATGTCAAATTATGCTGTCATTTAATGTAACTTAGAACCACCAGAACCACCACTGAAACATATGAATCTACAACATGAGTGGCTGCAGAATTTTGGGGACTACAGTTTTTAATTGCTGAATCTGAAAGATTTAAAAAAAAAAAAAAAAACAGCTTACCTGTCCAGTCACTTCCTGAATTATCCTGGGTAGAAAATATTCCTCCACATGCCTAAATCAAGATTATAGATTGTGAATACATCATTACATAAATCACAGCATAAAAGCTGGTTCTCTCCTCACCTTCTAACGTTGGTTAAAGAAACCATATTGAAGTTGTACAGTTCTCTGTGTGTTTAAAAAAACGAAAAAATACCTTCATATTCTTTGTGGAATTAATTAGAAATGCTAACATTTTAAGACAGCAACACCTGTGCTTCAGAAAGGCATGGTAAGCAATGCCTCATCCTGGCTAGAATGCAGACCTAACAAAGGACACACCATACCAGACAAATGCCAGATGGAAGTTTCTCTTTTTGTAGGGTTACTACACGAGCAACACAGAACACAACTGGGGCTCAAGGAGGGACCAGAAGAGCTTTACTGAGACCCTCAGGTTGGGAACTTTCCCTGATTACAAGATGAGTGCACAGCATCAGATATGGGAGTTCTGCAGCATCAGCAGGCAGGCAGCTTTCATTCTCTGCAGTTGTTGCAGTTCTGACAGAGCCCATCCTTTTCAGCGTTTGCCAGTTCAGTACTGGGATGCAGCAATCCAGCAGATAAACACAGCCCCTCCCAGGCCTGAGCTGGGTGTTCTTAGAAAGCACACACCAGGAAAATGACACTTTACACTGGCTGTAGGATCAAGCAGCCCCACTTTTTCTTCCATCTCAGCAACTCAGAGTTTGAGTGCTCAACAAGCTTACTAATCAAGCTGCAACCACGTAGCTTGGCTGACCCTGTCTTGCTGCTCTCCCTGTAGCAGCTAATGAGGATTTGCTGTAGATATTTCAACCCTGTTCCTGTGGCTGCAAACAGCAAGTTGTGTTTTCTAACACAATTCTAACAGCTGCCAGCATACCTTGCTTTGCTCCATGGGGTGAACCATCTAAGTTCCCTGTAGTTTCCTGCATTTGCCAGTGATATTTTTGGTCTGATCAGAAGAATCTTCCTTAAATCATAAATCAAAACAGAAAAGCTGAGTTAACACATGATGTACAGCCAAACAAGGCTATATACGAACACTGATTAATATCAACTCCTTTTTTTCTTTTATAATGTAACATTTTTAAAGTTTCTGTTTGCAGACTCAAGGGGATTTTCCGAACTCTTTCAGAAAGCAGTGGGAATTTAGTTTCCACAAATCAGAAAAGAAAAAATAGATCATAAAAACCTTAGTTGTCTCTCTCAAAATTTAGCAAATAGGAAGATAAATGTAGCACTGAAGAATCTTGCTTGTAGGACAAACTGATGTCTGAAAAGATAATGTGTTACCTCACAAAACACATCAAGAACTACTTACTTATTTAAAAAGATCACTCGACAATTGTAGCGAACATTTCTGTGCAGAATAGGCCTGTGAAAATAAGAAGCAAAATTAGCAGCGACTACACTCACTAACTAAATGAAAATATAAAAAGCTACAGAATCTACTTTACTGCATAAAAACTATTCATAAGACCTCACTAAAAGGAATCAAGCAAAACAATATATCAAGTTTTAGTTTCTGATTTTTTAGTTAAAGTAGGTGTTCGAAAAAAATCGGACTTACTGACTGTGCTGTCAATCTCAGACATATCAGCTACTACCTGAGCCTTAGGAACATGAGCAGACCAGAAGATTCCCCATGGCTGGGCCAGGTTATTTAATCAAATGTGACCTCCTGTGTTACTGCCAATCCAGTTCAAAAACAAACTAGCTTTACACATTTATATCAATACTGGACATGGTAATTAAAAGGCAAAAAATAGTGCAGTTCCTAGGATATGTTTGAAAGTTTGGTGCAGAACCCTCGCTATCCAGAGCATGGCACAAGCAGCATTCCCTAAGGACTCAGCCCTTTATCACAGGTAAAAACCCCCAAACTTACATCCCCACATCACATATAATATCTTGAGTAGCAGGAGACTCCAAGAGCTTTTCCAGAACTTGAAACGAATGCAAGAGTGTGTCTGATTCATAATAGTGATCTGAGCAGCCGTAACCACTGCGTATAGAAACAAGGAGAAAATAAAAAATTCAGCCAGATCAAAACCAGTGCCAAAGAAGCAAAACTACTTCACACAGAGAACACTTCACCCACACATAATCTATACAGAAAATTAAGAAGCAGTGCTGTCAACACCATCCCTATTTACAGCATTTAAAACTCTGCGGTGTTTTGTATCACCCCATGCTGCTCCTTCCAAGGACAGCAGCCTGGGCCCAAGCAGAAATCAAAGCCCTATAGTTTCCCTGAAGGAAAACTCACTGAAACAGGTCAAAAATTATCGCTACCAGTCAGGTTTCCAAGACAAGAGACCCAATCCTGTGCTCACAACTACAGCGCTTCCCTTTGCGCCGACAGCCGCATGCTGTGAGCAGCGCTTCGGGCACTGCAGCACCACGGGGCCGATGCTCTTCCCGACTGCTCTTCCACAGTTCACTGGACTCGCACCAAACCCAGCGCCAGCAAAGCGCCCTCACCAGATTTCGAGCTCTGGCCCAAGGCGGTACCGGGCTCCCTTGCTCTTGGCGATGTCGATACCTGCAAGAGTGTTGGGAGCGCAGTGCGTGAATCAGGCACGGGCTGCGCTGCGCTGCCCGCGGGAGGAGGGAAGGAAAGAGGGAGCGGGAGAGGCGTCCTGACGGCCGGGGGCAGCCAGCCATCATCGGCACTCACTTCTGAAAATCCTCTCCAGGTTGCCCTCAAAGTCCAGTGCCCACTGGTTGAGAGCGCAGGTGGCCACGGTCACTGCCCGACCCATGGCTGCCCCGCCGCCTTCCCCGCTGCTTCCGGGGCGGTGCCGCGCCGGGGCTGCGGGTCCCTCCTCCGGTGCCTCCCCCGGTGCCTCCCCCGGTCCCTCCTCCGGTGCCTCCTCCGGTCCCTCCCCCGGTGCCTCCCCCGGTCCCTCCCCCGGTGCCTCCCCCGGTCCCTCCTCCGGTCCCTCCTGCCGGCCCCTCCTCCGGTCCCTCCTCCCGTGCCTCCTCCGGTCCCTCCTCCGGTCCCAGCAGCTGCACCTGCTCCGTCAGCGCTTCGAGCACGGGCTCCATCCGCACCCGATGTCCCCATATGCTGTGCCTCCTGCGGCGCCGTGTGGTGCTGCACGCCCTAAGCGCTTTCCGCAGTTTTATCTCCCCAGAGCTCTGAATAACGGGAATGCAGCCTTAGCCCGTTTCTTAGCCCTGCAACTTCTTTTAAGAGGTGTCCCTCAAACCAGGTTCGGAGTGTGAGTGCTGAAAGTAACTGGAACAGGGTGCGACGTTCTGCGTGTTGTTCTCATTTCAGCACCATCCCGGCAGCTCTCAGGGTGCTGACCCCAGGGAGGGTGACTTCTTCCAAGTCCAATTTCCTCTCGTATGTCCCTCATCACATATTTGACTGCCGTGAGCACACAGGATTCTAACTTCTTTCTGTACTAGAATCAGAATACTTTAGGTTGGAAAAGACCTGCAAGATCAGAGTCCAACCACTAATCCAGCAGTGCCGAGCCCACCATTAAATCATGTCCCCAAGCGCCACATATACATGGCTTTTACCTCCAGCAATGGTGACTCCACCACCGCCCGGGGCAGTCCGTTCCAATGCCTGCCAAAACCATTTCTATGAAGAAACTTTTAAATATCCGATCTAAGCGAGCCTTAACACAACTTGAGACCGTTTCCTCTTCTGTCGCTTGCCACTTGAGAGAAAAGCCTATAGCCTCCCTTCAGGGAGTTGTAGAGTATAAGAAGATCTCCTCCTTCAGCCTCCTTTTCTCCAGGCTGAGATCTCCCTTCCCCTCTTCCTCATCCGTCTCCTCCCAGATCCTGCCCCAGATCCATTCCCTGGACACACTCCAGCAACTCAATGTCTTGGATTAAGGTGCCCAAAACTGACCCCACCATTCGAGGTGTGGCCTCAGCGGAGCCCAGAACAGGGGCACGGGCACTGCCCTGCTCCTGCTGGCCACACTATTGCTGACACAGGCAGGATCCTGTTCTTCTTGGCCACCTGGGCACACCTGGGCTTGTGTTCAGCAGCTCTTGGCCAGCACCCCCACGTCTTTTTCTGCGGGGCCATCGGAAATTGCACAGAAAGGTCAGTGGAATGCGGAGAGTCTAATAATGACTTGTTATAAATGAGAGACAAAAGTCTCTATATTCAGCAAAATTTAGATTGTTTTATTTGATATAGAAAGAGCAAGAAGCAGCGCGCTGTGGAACATGAGGGCTCACTGTCCACTCTACGCTCCATCGAATTTTGGTTTGTAGCCTCTTCTTATACTGTGGTTTCTCGTTGTAATCAATAATTTTTGGGTTTGGGTTTGTTGGTTTTTTTGGGTTTTTTTGGTGTCATAATTTTGCCAGGTAAGCAGTGGTAGTCGAATAGACATCCTTACACAAATTCACAAAGCCTCCGGGCGATAATCAGTCACAGATAGCCATCTGGCCTTTGTTCCAGAGAAGTTCTGGAAGTCTGGTCCTTGAGATAAGCAGCATTGATCAGACAAAGGCAGGAAGGGCTATTGGGAAGTCTGATTTTGTAAGCTGGTAGCCGATACAACTTATTTGGAAAATATAATATAACATAATATAATGTAACATAATACAACATAATATAACATAACAAGGTGATTTTAAACATAATGATTTTATCATATAATTTCCTTTATCTAGTGTCCATGCTTCACTTCAGAGCTTAGTATTTTGGTTTATACAAATGCCAATGCTCTTGTGATTAATTTTATCAATTATGGCAGACTCAAGGCGGCCCAGTGTCGGCACGGGGGGTTGCTGTGACCCGGGTGCAGGTGTAAGCTATTTCCCTGGACAGCGGTTCCCGTTCCCGAGAACGCGCGGGTTTATCCAGCGACCCGCGCGCTCCCGGCGCGGCGCGGAGCAGGGGGCGGAGCCTGCCCCCCGCGCGCTCCTCGGCCCATGGGACGAGCGCGCGCCACCAATGGGGAGCCGCGGAGCGGGCGGGGCGCGGCGGGGATTGGCTGGGATTGGCTGGGGCGGTGGGGCGGGGGCGGGGCCCGGAGGGTCGGTGCCGGCTGAGGGGCCGCTAGCGAGGCAGAGCAGGAGCGGCGGCGGCCGGGGCGGGCTCCGGGAGCGGTGCGAAGGTGATCCCTGTCACTGACCCCCCCACGTAGGTGAGTGCGTTCCTTCCTTATCGTGTGTGGGATCTGCCCTTGAACGGAGCCAACCGTGTGGGCAAAGGGGGGCGATGAGCTGCCTTCCCCTCAGATCGCTTCTGAGAAGAAACCTGCGGGGGGCAGGACTAAAGGAAATGGCCTTAAAGCGAGGTAGAGATTGGGATTAGATGAGAGAAAATTTTTTTTTCGTTGTTGGTGTGGTAGGCGTTGGAACAGGTTGTCAGGAGGCGGTGGGTGCCGGGGCTATGGGCGGGCTCAGTCAGTGTCCAGGTAATGCAGGCACATCGAGCCGCCACCTCAGTCCATAGGTCACATTATAGGATGATGATCTTTAACACGAGAAGCGTTGAATGAGACTGAAAGAAAACTACAGTGCATGTTCCACAGAGAGAATTAAGTGTTGCCGAGTAAGTCATTCTCCGTTCCCGCTGATTTTTCATTTAGATAGGATTATGTCTTGTTTTCTATGGTGTCAATGACATATATGGACCAAGGACTCTGGGCAAAGTATCCAATTCACAAGGTCCGCTACTGATAATGTTACAGCAGTAGCAATTTCTCAAATTAAGAAAGCGAGTTAAGTTACAGAGATTTATGAGAATGTGGTGAAACATCTTTTTTTTTTCCTTTTACATCTACATGAAAGTAATAAGCTATATACTATCTATGCATTTTAAAAGAAATTTCCAGTTAGCAAGAAGTTTAATGGGTTACTTTGATAAGAGTGTTTTGATTATGTTTTGCTGGATGTAATTGGTAAAAACTTTTTGCTTCCTCTCCTCCACCCCCAAATGTTATGTGGTCTGAAGTCTATAAAACAGATTTTAGTAACTTTTATTTGTCATTCTCTTGTAGAGACGGAAGGCTTACTGAGAACTAGCTGGAGTAATAGGATTCATATTTTCTTTCCCATAGGGTATCATGGCAACCCATCTCTCAAAGGAGAAAAAACCTGCTGAAGGAAGAAAACACCAAAACATGCAAAATGATACTAAAGTATCTCAAGGCCAGTGGGGAAGAGCATGGTGAGAGAAGCCTAAGTAGTCCTTGTATTTCCAATTACTTCATTCTTACTCTCAGAGATGCTGTATTCCTTTTAAACTTCCTCTGTTAATAATGGATTTTTGTTTTGCCCTGCTCTGTAAAGCTTATGGGTAATCTGCTGTAACAACAGGTGTTGAAGAAGAGTTCTTCAAGTTTTTTAAGGAAGAGAATTGGCCAGATGGTTTGGGTTAAATCACACTCCTTGCAAAAAAGAAAAGCAAATCATAAAAATTGGTCAAATTTCTGGTTCCTTCAAGAAAAGAAATATTTGCTGAGATTTGGAAAACAGGCATCCTGGTATCTGTGGCACTCCCAGCTGACAAGTCCTGCTGTAGCAATATTTATGACTCATGTCCCAGTTCCCAAAGAGATGGGCAGGTATTAGCAGGGCACTGTACTGCAGCTGGGAACAGCAACAGTGGCACAGCAAGTTCAAGGTATCGCTGTCCAAGGTCTTGGAGGGAAGATTTTATTTAATCTCTTGCTCTGATCAACTAGTGTAGTTTTAGAGAAGCTTCTGGCATAGTGTGTTCTGTGCTGAGTTTTTTATGGCTGTTTGTCCCTCAGATATGTCCATGCCTTGAACACGTTTTCAGTTTTCATCCAGTTAAGTCTAGAAGGTCCACTGAAAAACTGTCTGATGTAACTTATCTATCTGAAACCTGGGGAAACAAAATGCTTTGTTTTGGATTACAGGGAGGTGGACTGGTTTTCCTTGGCAAGCATCCTTTTCCTGCTCATGTTTGCACCACTGATTGTGTATTACTTCATCATGTCCTGTGCCCAGTACCAGTGCTCTCTGACTGATCCACTCCTGGACTTGCTGACGGGGAATAAGCATCTGTCTGACATCTGGAACAGCACTCCCACACTGACCTATAGGGCTGCTGTCATCTATTCCCTGTGGGTCACTTTCCAGGTACATTATTGAGTTATAATCTGGATGCAGAGTCTGGTTTTCCCCACAGTGTTGGATGAATCCTTTTGCACAGAGGATGGTGGAATCTTGCACTGGCATTTACTCTTTGATGTTTCACAATTTCCAAGGTGTTTTGGAATCCAAATTACTTAGAAAATAAGCATGTAGGGAATATGCACAAATATTCTTTGTGTGACATATTCCTTAATGAGGTTTTTAAGAAAAGGTAGCTATGTAACAACGGTACCCATTTGTTTTAAATTAACACACAAGAAATAGATGAAAATGAAAGGACGAGGACCTGAATGTAGTTACCAACAGTCCTGCCTCCCCACCAAAAAAGAATGACAGCCTTATATAAAATACATCTTTAGAGCTGTAGAAAAGCTTAGATATATTACTAGTCTAAAATCACAACAGCTAAATATTTCCATATTGGCTTACCCAACACTTACTAGAAACTTAAGAGAAATGTTACATTTGGGATACATATGTAAAGGATAGTGTTTTGAGGGGTTTTGTCTTGTCTGTGTTTACTGTGAATACATTCTCTCACTTTTAGGTGGTTTTGTACTTGTTCATTCCTGATTTCTGCCATAAATTTCTCCCTGGATATGTGGGAGGTGTACAAGAAGGTGCTATCACCCCTGCTGGTAAGGTCTTTCTTTGGAATTATAGTATTTCTGCTTCTTAGAGTCTTTAATAACCCATGTGTAATCAGAGGAAACGTGGACATAAATGGTCTCACCTTCCTCACATGTTCAGTTCAAGCAAAACTAGAAAGCAATCTGGGTCATCTTTTAGAATAAGTTATAGCATTTCTATCTCTTATAATTAGTAAAACTGTTGATCTGGTAGGCACCACATCATCAATGGAAAAGTACTGGTTGACAATTTTGACACTTAAAATTGTCAGTGGACTATTGCTGGTATTTGACAAGATAGTTTTACCTGCTCAAGCTCCATTAACCCAAGAGACTTGGACAAAATGTGTGATGTGAACTGTTACTGGTGGCTTGTTACTGTAGTCAGTTTTGGGGAAAGTCTAAATTCACTTTTGTGAGAAGAAAAGCTCAGCCTAACAAAGTGTAGTGGCTACAGCAGAGTCTAATGGAGCTTTCAGAAAAGTGCCTCAAGGTATTTAAGTGGGAGGATGAGGAGAGAGGTCATTTCATGAGGACTTGATTGAGCTTCTGTGCATTCTGTGCATCCCCATATTAATTAAAAGCTGTATTAATGCAGGGTCACTAACATCCATTTTTTCTTCATACTTAGGTGTTGTAAATAAATATGAAATCAATGGACTTCAGGCCTGGATCATTACCCATGTGCTTTGGTTTGCAAATGCTTCTTGCTTCCACTTCTTCTCACCTACCATCATTTTTGACAACTGGATTCCTCTCCTGTGGTGTGCCAATATCTTGGGATATGCAGTGTCCACGTTTGCAATGATTAAAGGCTACTTTTTCCCTACCAATGCCAAAGACTGGTATGTGAATTTTAGTAAGGAGAGAATACTAGGTATCAGAGATAAAAATTGTTAAACAAAAGTCGGATGTATAAATTGAATGATGGAGTATATTTCAGTGGCACAGAGAGCTAGGCCAATGTATGGCAGTGGTTCTTAACTTCACCAGCACTATCCCATGTGTTTCATGCTGCACACCATGGGACTGGCAGCCTCATAGTCACAGATGCACCCATCCTAAAAATGGTTATACTTAGACTGTTCAGAAGTGTTACCAAGAGAAAACCTGGGCACCTCTGAAATTCTACCATTTATGTCTATTAATGTAATACTTCAGTCGTGTCAGTTTGTGTTACCTTGCACAACGTTACATGGTTTTATGATTTTTATTATCACTACATCAAATTAATCTCAATTGTGTAGTCAGAGTAGAAATTATTTCTATTTGTATTTAACTCTGTCCATTTCTAATTTTTTTTTTGCATTTTACAGCAAATTCACTGGAAACTTCTTTTATGACTACATGATGGGGATTGAATTTAACCCTCGAATAGGGAAGTGGTTTGATTTCAAGCTGTTCTTCAATGGGCGCCCTGGGATTGTGGCCTGGACTCTAATCAACCTTTCCTTTGCTGCTAAACAACAGGAGCTGTATGGTCAAGTGACAAACTCCATGATCCTTGTCAATGTCCTCCAGGTAAATTCCGAGGAGGAAATGAAGAAACCAGTTTGAAAATAATCTAGTATGAAAGTAGGAAAAAATCTCCTTCCATGGAAATCAAACTGAGGCATTTTTTCCTGGCCTGAAACAAGCTCATTCACTGATGGGTCTTTGGATTTATTCCCTGATCTGTGTAAATGGAAGCCTGCTCCTTAGAAGCTCTATCCCTCCTCTTTGTAACCCTGTGACTCTAAGCTGAAGAGAGATCAGGGTGGTCAGTTGTGAGTTCACTTCCCAAGTGTTTATCCCTGAGTTGTACACTTGCCTTAGTCATCCTACTAGTGCTTTATCTGTCTAGAGAGATAGATATTGTGTATCCAGATAGGTTGTATTTATGTGAGAGTTCTTCTTAACCATGTTCAGAAATGTCTGGTTTTTAAGTGCTAACATGAAAACACCAATGAATTTAAGAATACATCACAAGGCAGCACAGACATTAAGCTGATGCTGTTAAGCAGGGTAACTGGTGACAGTGCTATGTTATTAATGTAAAATTATTCTGTTGCAGGGTATTTATGTTCTGGACTTCTTTTGGAATGAAGCCTGGTACTTGAAAACCATTGATATCTGCCATGATCATTTTGGATGGTATTTGGGCTGGGGAGACTGTGTTTGGTTGCCTTACCTCTATACATTGCAGGTAAAAAAGTGTACATTGTGTTTTTGGGCTATCAGGGATGAAACTCTCCAGAAACTTTCTTTCTAGCTGTTTAATTTGTACCTTAAACGTTTCTATATTGTTAGACTGTTGAGAAATTATTGCAAAGTTCTTTGTAACAATTCTCTTGTAGGAAAGCTTCCTGTCCGTGCACGGATCTGACATCTTTTCCTCTCCTGCCCTTCTTTTGTGCCTCTTTCTGTCACTGTTGATTGTGTCTGCATACTTTTCTAAATCCTTTCAGATTCCTTTCTTTTTTCACTCCTGCTTGTTGAGGATCTTTTGGTTGGTGTGGTTTGTTGGGTTTTGTTCCTTGGGTTTTTCCTTCTGTCTGGTTTGCATCCTTGCAACTTCTCCCTTCTTGTTTCACAAAGAAGTGCAGTTTTGGAGAGAGAAAGAGAGAAGGAAACTCTAGGATGCAGAGTTTTCTGAAAGTTTTGTGCAGTTTTACTATTGCAGTACTTTTTTCTATGTGTTCTTCTGGTTTGTTGTGGGTCACTGTGATCAAGGAATTTGTGTGGTGTGCTAAGCCCTCTGTTGGAAGTCAATGGCTGATTGTTTTTGTGCTCCCCAGGGTCTGTATTTGGTTTACCATCCCGTCCAGCTGTGCACAGCTCATGCCATAGGGGTCTTGATGTTGGGCTTGCTGGGTTATTACATCTTCAGAATGACCAACCACCAGAAGGACCTCTTCCGTCGCACCAGTGGCAACTGCAGGATCTGGGGGAAGAAGCCTCAGTACATCGAGTGCTCCTACACGTCCGTGGATGGCACCAAGTACCACAGCAAGCTGATGACCTCCGGATTTTGGGGCTGGGCACGTCACTTCAACTACACAGGAGACCTGATGGGTTCGCTGGCCTATTGCCTGGCTTGTGGCTTTGAGCACCTCCTGCCTTACTTCTACATCATTTACATGACCATTCTGCTCACCCACCGCTGCCTGAGGGACGAGCACCGTTGTGGCAGCAAGTATGGGAAGGACTGGAAGCGCTACACTGCTGCAGTGCCCTACCGGCTCCTACCCGGGGTGTTTTAAGGCTAACACAGGAGGCAGGGGAAAGGAAAAAGAAGAAACATGCAGGCATGCCGTGCTAAGGGTAACTCAAGTATGGCACTGAACTGGCACATTTTTTTAGAAGACTCTTTTAATTGGAATACCCCTCTGAATCTCCCCATTTCCAAATTAACTTGGAGTTTAAGAAAAGATGCATGTATTTAGACACCTGAGAAATCCCAAAGCTGGAAGGTGGCCTTACCCTTGATAGTAGCAGGGTTCTGGAAGCAGTTTGCAGTGCTTCAGGAGAGAAGATAAAGAGTTCTGTCATCTCTTTAGGAAAGAAGTTTTCTGATGCAGTTGCTTATGACCATCAGAACCTACACTTGGGAAAAAGTGCAAAGGAGGCTTGATTGTTGGTTGCTTGTCAAGAAATGAACAGTGAAAATACTGAACTGGAGAAGCTGGTCTGAAATAACTGTTATAATCTAAAACAAAAGTGAAAACTGTTACAAATTAGTGCAATTTTCAGCACCTGACAATAGGGAACATGACCAACTGAGTTTTTATTTTGCTACTGAAACCAGACTTTGTGAAGCTACTGAGCTATGGTTGGGCTGGAATGGAGTTAATTTTTTTCATAGTAGCTGTTATGGGCATAGTTATGGATTTGAACTGAGACAGTGCTGATAACACAGGGATGTTTTCACTACTGCTGAGCAGTGTTTACACAGCATCAAGGCCTTTTCTGCATCCTCACCCCACATGCCAGGGAGTGGGCTGGGTGAGCACAAGGAGTTGGGAGGGGTCATGGGCAGGACAGCTGACCCCAATTGACCTAAGGAATATCCCAGGCCATGTGGCATCATGCTCAGCTCATAAAGCTGGAGGAAGAAGGAAGTGGGGGATGTCAGGAGTGATAGTATTTGCCATTCTAAGTCACCATTACATGTGATGGAGACCTGCTTTCATGGAGATGGCTGAACATCTGCCTGCAGGTGACAGGTGGGGAATAGATTCCTTATTTTGCTTTGTTTGTGTGCAGTTTTTTCCTTTACCTATTAAACTGTGTTTATCTCAAGCCGTGAGTTTTCTCCCTTTCCTGATTACCTTCCCCATCCCACTGTGGGGGAGTGAGCAAGCAGCTGTGTGGGGCTGAGTTGCCAGCTGGGGTTAAACCATGACAGTCCTTTTTGGTGCCTGACATGGAGCTCAAAGGGTTTGAGTTAACAGCAGCTTTGGCTGGAATATGCTGGGTTGGATTTATAGTGTTGGTGCTATTGGGTTATCAGGCTCCTGTGCTTGCCATGGGGCTTGTTAGGGGCTTGATTTTGAATTTGCTGCTGGCTGTAGTGCTCCTCCTCTCCCTGTGCTGTGCCTGGGGACACTTGGATGACAGCCATGGTGACACACTCGGGCTGGCAGGTGGCCAGGGCATCGCTGCTGTTTCTGTGCTGCTGGAACTCCAGTGTGAGCTCCAGTTGAGGGAACTGTGACCTGTGGATGAGCCCACGTGGGACCAGGACACCCTCAGGCATCAGTGGCTGGGAGTAAGCCCATGGCAGAGCAGGAACCTCTCAGAGCATCAGTGCCTGTGGTCGTGTCTGTGCCTAAGAAGGAATTGTGGCCCAAGGATAAACCTGAAGCCCCTGTGGCTGTGGATAGGGCCATGCTCAGCAGATGCCCCATGGAACATCAGTGCCTGTGCATGGGGTTGTGCTGGAGCACCCCAGAGCCATGGCCATGGATAAACCCCTGGCAGAGCAGTTACAGCCTTGGAGGTGCTGCAGCTGTGGGGAAGGCCACATCCACTTCTTCAGTGTGGGTGGAAAACTTCCTTCCCTATAATTTGTATAAAATCATGTTTGTAAAAATTTAAAGTTTTAAATTCTTAGATTCAGGACAAATAAAATACTGCTAATTTCCCTTCAGCTACTTCTTTTCCTGTTACATGGTTATCTTTCAGAGTGACTGAAGGATACAAAAGGAGCTCTTTAAAATGTTTATTTTCAAGAGCTCCTTGGAATTCTCTTTTCCAAGGTGAACCAAATAAAAAGAATAGGGGTCATTGTATGAACTGTGCAGCTTGTAACAAGTTTGGTAGTTATGTTCAAGTTAAAAGTCTTTTTTAATTATTGCATATAAATATACTGTTGGTTTTTAAAGTAAGTAGGAAAGAAAGTATAAATTAATGTTTTGTAGAAGCAGCTGAATGCACTGCTCTTCGTGGCAGGATTGGATGAGTTGTGGTGGTGATTGTGTGTTTTGGTATTGTTGCAGTCATCCTGGAGAGGATGGTCTGGGCAGGAGAAAAAGGCTCTCTGCAAACCTAGAAAACAAGTGTATATTGGAGCTGAGCTTTGTTTGGCAGCTGGATCTACACACATCATTTTCTTATGTAGCCTTGGAAATTGCTCTGCCCCTTTGCTGTTAATGCCAAGGTTATTTAAATATTGCAACATAATCTGGACTCTTAAATCATGGTAGCCTTGCACAGCACAGTGTGGTCCCTTTTTTGTTCCCTGAGAAATCTTGGATGTTTTGTGGAAAAAATTGCCCCTTCAACACCTATTAAAAAAACACTTTAATCTATTCTGTAAACTTCATCCTGCTCCAAGCAGTGTCCCACTAATGTCACCCTTGAAAACTGCAATGTGAAGGACTATCAGCTTGCTCATATCCATGCCTGGGTCACTTTGTTGTATGCATGGCAAAGCTGTTAAATTTGTTTCTTCCCCAAAACAACAACAACAAATTTGGATTTTGAGGGGTATGTATTGGATTAACTTTTGTCTTAGTATTTCCTATTTATTGATATTCTGTGGTCAATATCATCTATCAAGCTTGAAGATCACCTATCCAATCTCTGTAGTATGCTGTGAATTTCAAATACAGAAGTGTCAATATTTGCAAAATGGGACATTTTAAAACTTGGGTTAAATAAAACATAATGGGAAAACACAGCAAAATCTTCCAGTAACTACTTGGAGCAGTAACCAAGTAGTTTGGTTGGATTGTTGTAGGAAGAAAAGTTACAAATGCTCACTTGAAGAGGACACAAGAGGCTGAGCAACTTCCACGTTGCTTTAGATCTACCTAAGGAACAAAATACATCCCAGTGTTGTAGAGTATAACTTCTATGGATTGTCAGTGTTCAATTTACAGATGGAATGGAGTGGGGAGAGGGGAACTTGCAATACCTGTGGGAGGGGAGGATACCTTCACATATGGAAAACCTCTGGCATTTCTGAGATCAGGGCTCCACCTTTGCAGCATAAGGGTGATCATGATGGAATGGGATTGCTCAGCTCCAGTTTTGCTCTGACAATGGAAATGACAGCAGGAGAATGTGCAGTTGCCTTGCAGTGTCAACCAAACTATTTTCTGCTCTTAATTAATTACCAGTCTAAGGTTCTGATCATGTGGTAACCTAGAGCTACACTGCCTAAATTGGTTCCCTTCAATAATGCAGTCTTCACTCGAGGTTAAAGTGATGTGCAGTTGAAGATAAAACTGTAATAGCATATTTTTTATACCTTCTTTTGTACAGGATGAAAAAGTCTAAATGTGTGTGTAAAAGCAAAAGCTTACTTTATTTTTAGATGACAAATACAGATCTACTTTATGGCTACCGGACATGTAATGAAACTGGGTTTTTTGATGATGCTATCCAAACATTTTGTAACATATTTTCCCTAAAAAATGTAAAAAAATTTTGCAGTCCAAGGTAATGTAAAATACATGTTTTATCATCCAGAGTATAAATCAAAACAACAAAAAAATATCTAATAAGTATATTTTGCAACAGCTACATCTCTATGAAGTAGTATGGAATGATTGGAGAATCATTACAATAATAAATCATAGGAAAAGTCTTCTGAGAATGTGAAAACAGGAAACAGATGAGTTCAGAAGTAAAAATATAAAACAGAAAAAATGCCTATTTTTTTACAAAAATAAAAAATAGCGAATATGTGTGATTACATCTTGTAGCTAGAGGAAATTAAGAATTGTAATGTATATTTTAAAATTCTAGTCTAGACAAAGATGGTGAATAATCTAGGTTATGGACTAATAAGAGTTGCAAGAGTTACAAGGCATAGTCATAATAAAGATTTTGGGAAAGAGCTCAAACAAACTTTTTGTTGACTGTAAAAGAGTTAAAGAAGAGTTGATGTATTCAAAGCTGGCAGAAGAGCCAAGTTATAAAACTTTCTTGTTTAAGCAGGATATAGAAAAGGCCAACAGTAAGGAACTCCCAGAAGCCAGAGGACAACAGCGATTGTCCTGGAGCTGCCAGTTCCCACCCCATGGCTCCCAGGATGATGTGGTGGTGCCACACAGGATGGTGTGTTGCTGGACAAGATCCTGCAGCAGCAAAGTCAGACCTTCCCATCTCCAGGGAATTGTCTGGCAGCAACAGTGCATGAGCAGGAAGATCTCCACAGTTTGGTTACTTGTGGCAAGAGTGTCTGTGAGAGCTGCCAGAGTGCAGATGGAAGAAGCCCTTTGGACAGGACTGCCTTTTCCCTCAGAGCCATGGGTATCAGCAACACCTGCTCTTCCCCAGGGACGCAGCTGGCAGGAAAATCCAGAAAGAAAAAGTGGAGGCCAAGGCCACTGCAGAAAGTGTTTCCTGCAGCCAGGCACACAGCAGCAATTTCCAAGAGCCAGTTCCCAGTCCATGGCTCCGAGAATGATGAGGCAGTGCTACAGGAGAAGACCCTTGATGTGGTGCTGGATACAGATCCTCCAGGACCAAAGGCAGATCTTCCCTTCTCCAGGGCACTCTCAGGCATCAGCAGTGGAGAAGAAGAATGAGAATGGATTCCAAACTTTGGATATTCCTGGCAGGAGACTTTAACCTACCCAGAGCCTCAGTGGGAGCCACCACACTGGAGAGGGAGGAAACTCTTTGGACAGGTGTGCCTGCTCCTTCAGAGCCGTGAGTATCAGCAAACCTGCTGATCCCCGAGAATGCAGATTGCTAGGAAATGCCTGGAAGTAAAAAGGGGCGCCTAGCCCCTTTCAAGAAGATGTTCCTAGAGGAAAGTGTCCCAGCAGCAAGCATCTTGGAGCCACGAGTTATCAGCCCGTGGCTCCCACAACGCTGTGACTGTTCCAGTGGGGAACACCCTGTGCTTGGCAGCAGAGATGATCCACATGAAACCAAGGAGGTTCCTCCATCTCCAAGAAGCTCTGCGGAGATTGCCTCCAACTACCAGGAATTTGTTTAAGGAGGGGGGTCAGATCTTAGGAGTACTAGTGTTAAATAAATCGGGATTTTCCCAGAGAACTCTCTGAGTGTTTCCACTGTTCTGGGTTTGACTGAGATTCTTTTCTTCCCAGAAACTGGCATAGTGCTGGGTTTGGATGCAGGATGGGAATGCTATAGATCACAGGTGGAGAGTTTGTTGCTACTAAGCAGGGCTTGCCCTCCTCAAGAATTCTGTAGGATCCTAGAAGCCACTCCATGTCCCATGCTCTGCCATCAAGGAGGTGACAAAGAGCCTGGAGGGAGCATGTCCAGGACAGCCAACCTGGAATGCACAGAGGGATATTGCAGACCATAGGATGTCCTGCTGAGTCTAACAACTGGGGAAGCTGGTCAGGAGAGGCTGATCCCTGGTGGGATTGACTGGGCATCAGGCAGAGGGTGCTGAACACTTCTTGGGCATTGCTTCTCAGTCCTGGGCTTTGGTCCTCTGCTCATTTGTCTCCTTCTTCTTCTTCCTCCTTGTTTGGAGGGAGTGTGTTGAGCTTTCCCTGGCCATCGTTAGTGGTTCCAGGCCCCCAGGAGCTCTTGTGTCATCCTTTTCCCCACCAATATCCCTCTGTCTCCTCCTTCCCGACATTTGCTGTGGTCACTTCATCCTCCCTGTCCGTGCAGCTCCTTCCTCTGCAGCGGGGGCCTCTTCAAGCTCTTTCCCTGCCCCAGTGCAGGAGGCTGAGCCCACCAGAGTGTGTCCAACTATCCTGGAGTCCCTTTCGGCATCTGCACATCCCTGCACAGCTCCTTCGGATGCTCCGTCCCCTGGGGAAGTGTCCTTGTCTATAACAATATCTGCAATAAAACCATAG